GTTGCTCCCGCGCCTCGCTCAGCCAGTGAGCGGGAACCGGTCCGTATGTGGGATCCGAACCCTCGGGTGGGAGCGCTGCCGTGCTTCCCAAGCGGTGCACTATCCAGTGCGCCACCGGGCCGGCCCAAGCTGTTGTTGATAGGATCACTTAACTGTCTACTGGAATGTCATCTGGCTTGTTTCACTGAAAGTTACCAGACTATATTGTTAAACTATAATCCCACCTATGTTCTCTTCCTATAACTTCCTAGTCTGGAAAATAAATGCAGGAAGAGAAACCCAATTCAGGGTTAATTTCCCAAGGAAGGGATGCCTCTCACTGGAGCATTTCCAAGGGAAGTTAACCACTTCAGGGTCTCTCACTGCTCAGAAGAGATGGGCTTTGAGTAATCCTTTGCATCTCCATCACCCAACAATATCTGGCACAGAGCAAGTTCTAAGTAGTGTTGCTGGATGGATGGATAAAAGAACAAACAAGAAAATATTTTCCAAAGGTCTACATGTGGAGGAATAACAAAGTCTGAAAATCAAGTTAGACTCATGTTGAAGTCAGATTGCAGAAAACATTGAATTCTACCTGCAATAATGTGTATTGGACTTCATTTGGTAAGCCACTTTTTAAGATCTGAATCTACTTTTTGTATTCATGAAGTTTAAAAATTTCATAAAGGTAAAGAGGAAGGGTGATGACTAAGGACTGACAGATGGGTATGAGGGGAGGTTGCTTATTATAAACAACACCAAACAGGAAGACCAGAGTGAGGACGCATCCCTGCCAGTCACTGAGGGGCAGGGAGCACAGCTGTGAGAACGTCAGGATGAAGGCTGGCCACCTAGATCCTCCCAGATGATAACAGGGGCAGCCTTTCATCCTTTGACCACACAAGCTAGACTTCAAGATTGTCTGCATGGATTTTTTTTTAATTGTAAAATACATAATACACAAAAGCTGTATAATCTACCTTTTAAAGAATAACAATGAAATAGAAACAGAACATTTTGGGCCGGCCCGGTGGCACACTGGATGAGTGCGCCGATCCCACATGCAGACCGGCTCCCGCTCACTGGCTGAGCGAGGCGCGGGGGCAACGCCGAGGGTTGCGATCCCGTTGCCGGACACGGAAAAAGACAAAAGACAAAAAAAAAAAAAAAAAGAAACAGAACATTTTGATTTCTAGTTAACCTTAATGTACTGATTGAGAATTGGAGCAGGAGAAAAAAAAAAAAAAAAAAAAAAAAAAAAAAAAAAAGAAACAGAACATTTTGATTTCTAGTTAACCTTAATGTACTGATTGAGAATTGGAGCAGGAGAATGATGGTTCAAACAGCATTTAAAAAATAATTTCGACTTTGTCTGCAGGACATATGAGATGAGGCGATGTCTACAAGGAAAGAGACTAGTGTAGTTTTTGGTAGTTGAGCATTGTGATGGCCTTTTGATGTGTCAAGTTGGCTAGGTTGAACTATAGTTCCCATTTATTCATCTAGGTATTGCTGTGAAGGAATTTTGCAGATGTGTTTAAAGTCTTTGGGCCGAGCCCGGGGCGCACTCAATTCATCTAGGTATTGCTGTGAAGGAATTTTGCAGATGTGTTTAAAGTCTTTGGGCCGAGCCAGGGGCGCACTCGGGAGAGTGCGGCGCTGGGAGCGCAGCAGCGCTCCCACCGCAGGTTCGGATCCTATATAGGGATGACCGGTGCGTTCACAGTGCTCACTGGCTGGGCGTGGTGCGGCCGGTCTCAAAAAGGACAAAAAAAAAAAAAAAATTAAAAAAAAATAATAAAGTCTTTGATCGGTTGACTTTAAGTTACACCAAAAGGAAGTTCATTCTAGGTGGGCCTAACCCTTTTAAAACAGGTCTTATTCATTCCCCGAGCTCAGAGATTACAAACAGCTCATGCCTGTGGGGTTCCAGCCTGTTCCTGATCTCCCCTTCCTGAACACCTGAACTTCCTGAACACAGACTATTTTTGCCATCCCAATAACATAAGCCAATTTCTTGTAAAAGATCTGTGTGTATGTATGTGTACATATTATACATACACATACACACCATATACATATTTATAATCTCCTACTAGTTTTGCTTCTCTGGCTGAACCCTGACTGATAGAAGAATTTAAAAAGAATTTTAATATATTATATATATTCTTATATACATAGTATACTAAATCTGATTCACTATATATAAATACCTATGTTCTGATCTGTTTTGCCACGTCCAGTCAATGTGCCAGGTTTTAAAAAGCTGAGTTTAGAATTTTCTTCAATCCATTTCTTTAAAGCCTGAAAATGAAAAGCAATGATAAGTTGGATGCCAATTGTAAAACATGTATATTAATTCAATATTGAAATATATGCAAAAACCAAAAAACTTAAAGTTAATATTCATACAGTTTTCAGACTGACAAATTTAAGGATAAAAGCTTCCTGAAATTGAACTTTATGCAACAATTAGCTGTAATGGTATAGATCTTTGTGACCTGATATAGTTTAATCTTCAAGATATTTTTTAAGTGAAAAAAGCAAAGTCCAGAATAGTGGGTACATAGAATCAATAAATGAGTTCAGCAAGATTGATGGACACAAGCTCAATATACATAAATCAATTGTATTTCTATATACCAGCAACAAACAACTGGAATTTGAAAAGTTTTAAAAGTACCATTTACAACAGCATCCAAAAAAATCAACACCTAGATATAAGTCTACCAAAATATGTGCAGAATCTCTATGATGAAAAGGGCAAAACACTGATAAAAGAAACCAAAAAAGATGTGGCAGGTAGCCCTCAATGATCTTCACCCCCTGTATTCAGATCCTTGTGAAATACCCTCCTGACTGTGAACTGGACTTACTGACTTGCTTCTAATGAATAAAATACAACAGACATGATGAAATATCACTTTCAAGATGAAATTATAAAATGACTATGGCTTCCATATTAGGCACTCTCTCCCAATCTCTCTTAGATCACTCACTGTAGGGAAAGCCAGCTGCCTTGTTGTGAGGTAACCCTATGGAGAGGCCCACATGAGTGAACTTAGAAAGCACATCTTCTGAGGCCTACCAAATAGCCTGTTAAGAGAGCATGGAAGTTGATCTTCCCCAAGTCAAGACTGGGGATGACTGCAGCCCCTGCTAACACCTTGACTGCAGCCTTTTGAGAGATTTTGTGCCAGAAACACCCCGTTAAGTTGTTTCCAGATTCCTGACCCACAGATTCTGTAAGATAATAATCTTTGTTGTTTCCAGACACTAAGTTTTGGGGTAATTTGTTTCTCAGCAATAGATGACTAATACAGAAGCCCTACATAAATGAAGAGATATAATATGATCATGGATTGTAAGACTCAATATTGTTAAGATGTAATTTCTCCCCAGTTTTATCTATAGATTCAATGCAATCCCAGACAAAATCCCAGAAGACTTTTTCACAGATGTGGACAAGCTGATTCTAAAATGTATATGGAAAGGCAAAAAAACATAGCTAAAACAACTTTGAGGGAAAAGAAAAAGTTGGAGGACTCAGGCTGCCACATTTCAAGACTTACTATAAAGCTATCATAATCAAGAGAGTGTGTACGGGTGAAAGGAAAGATGTATAGATTGATGGAATAGAATAGAGAATCCAGAAATAGATTTATGCAAATAATCAACTGATTTTTTTTTTTAAGTTGCAAAGGCAATTCAAATAGAGAAAAGAAAGTCTTGTCAAACGTGCAGTTTTGGAACAATTCAACATCCATATAAAAAAGAAAAAAAGAAAGCATCTCAACCCATACCTCACAACTTACACAAAAATTAATTCAACATGGATTGTAAAGCTACAAAACTTCTAGATGATAACAGAGAAAATCTTTGTGACCTTGTGTAAGCAAAGAGTTCTTAGATACACAGGCAAAATCCATAAAAGAAAAAAATTAAAAATTGGACTTTGTCAAAACTTTCAACTTTCAATCTGCAAAAGACACTATTAAGAGAATGAAAAGACAAGCCACAGACCAGAAGAAAATATTTGCAAGTCACATTTCTGACAGAGGGCTTTTCTGTTAGAATGTAAAAAAGAACTCTCAAAAACTCAACAATAAGATGATTAACAGCCCAATTTTAAAATAGGCAAATGGTCTGGACAGACACCTAACCAAAGAACATATATATAGATGGCTAATAAGTATATGAAAGATGTCCAACCATACTAGCCATTAGTGAAATGCAAATTAAAACCCTAGTGAGACACAAATTTTAGCCATTCTATGGCTAAAATTAAAAAACTGACAAAAGGTACAGAAGAGGACAAAGTGCTTGCTCTTCACATATCAAGATATTATAATCTAGAGTGATTAAGACAGTAGGGTTTTAGTGTAAGGATAAACAAAGAAAGAATTAGAACAGAGTGAGACACAAATTTTAGCCATTCTATGGCTAAAATTAAAAAACTGACAAAAGGTACAGAAAGGACAAAGTGCTTGCTCTTCACATATCAAGATATTATAATCTAGAATGATTAAGACAGTAGGGTTTTAGTGTAAGGATAAACAAAGAAAGAATTAGAACAGAATAGAGAATCCAGAAACAGACCCACACATATATGGATACTTGATTGCAGAGTACTGGAGAAAGGACAACCTTTTCAATAAATGGTGGGTGAATCTGTCATCTACAAGGAGGAAGAAAGCTTACGTCCACAAGTGCTCTGGTTTTCACAAAGAGAATGGTTCTTGACTCTGGGTTTAAGTGGTACTCCTCTTGCAAGATGAAACAGAGGTCTTTGAGTTTAGGGTTCTCATTGCTGGGATCCACAGAAATACTTTCTAGTTCCTGTAGCTTTTCTGCAAATGAGAAACATTTTTTAAATGGCTTATAAATTCTAAAAATGTAGAACACACTGTGACCTTTTGTGATAGTTCTTACAGTTCATTATTTGCTCAATGTTTGACCAGAATTTTATGAGTAATAACCACCAATTTAAATTGGCACAACCTTTTAGGAAGGCAATTTGGCAATACCCATCAGAACAAAAAGCTCATACATCCTTTGATCCAATAATTCTCCACCTAGGAATATGAGACATAGTTATATTAAGAAAACTACTGATGACACATCCAAGGATATTCACCATACTATTGTTAGGAACATAAAAGAAAAATAGGAAACAACCTAAATACCCAACAATAGGGAAACAATTCAACAGATCATGGGCTATGCATTTGATGTTAATATAATGTGGCTGTTAAAATTAATGAGGGAGTTGTTTGTATGCTGATATGGAAAGATCTCAAGGATATTTTAAGTTAAACAATAAAGGTACAAGGACAGTGTGTGCACTATGATCCCACCTTTAAAATATATATATATATATATATTTAGTTAGTTATAAAACAGTAGTGTGCTGGGGCCTGATCATACCAGAGTATGAGTCAGTTGTTTATAAAATAGCATGCTACTGTTCATCTGTTTGTAGCACTAGTTCAATGACATCATACCAGTGGCTTGAAATTGACTACAGTATACAATGGAATACTAAAAAATCAAGATTGTTGACAGTCTAGACTTATGAAAGTTATAGAGAAAATAATAATGCAGATTAAATTTAGCTACTACATTGTGAATAGCACAAAAAAATGAGAAAATATTCTCCAAGTGTCTGAAAAACTGTTATCGAATTCAGCAAAAAAGCTGCTCACATCATTGACAAACAAGTGAAGTTCCAACATATGTCTCTGTTGTTTCATTTTCATCTTACTCCTAACGGTAGTGAAAATATATACCAACATCCAAATCAGAACTACACATTCGTCTGTTGTAACCAATGATTGGCTATAAATACAAGAGTTCTGCAAAAACCACCAAAAGCATTCTATGAGAACTAATTGGCTATATGAAATTTATCATAAAGAAAATATTTTTATTGTTTGTAAATTGTGTGCTAAAATCCTCTGTTATCAATAAAAGTTATAATAAACATATGTGCATATATACACATGCATTTTTTTCCCCAGAGAGCTGGTTGTCCAACACATCACTGGTTACACATATGCATAGTAAATATCTCAGTACAGGTGAAAAAAAAAATTATTAGCAGCAATTACCTCTGGAAAAAGGAATTCAAAAGAGGGGAAAGGGAAATTTACTTTTCATTTACTATCTTTCTGTATTTTAATTAATAATATGAGGGCAGTGAGATTATGGTTAATTTTGTTTTCTCTTTATATAGAAATATATATAAATTACAGTCATTTTAATATCATTAAAACTTTTTTGTATTTTTTAAAACTTTATAAAATTAATAAAAGTTAAACAAAAAGAATGCAACTATTTGAAATTGTATGGGAAGTACCCTTTGTAAATCCTACTATTTTTCATTCTTCCAATTAGGAAATGTTATAAACAACAGAATCTTTCCATAGGTACTAGATTTCACTGAAGCAAAGTAGTCCTACCATCCACAATGTCTTCTTAAATCCAGAACAACCTCCGAAGCACCACCATACTTAGGTATGCTAAATACAATACCATATACGTAAGCTGCCACTCGAGTCACCAGACTCCAACGGTTTCCTCTGAAAATACCACCTACCATCAAATCTCCGAGTAAGATCTTGCTCAATCTCATTAAATCCTGCTGCTCGGACTTGGCTGAAGAAGTCTTTCAAGTAATCCAGGGCATCTTTCATTCGCGCGTGCTCATTGATAATGAGGGCATCATTATATTTCTGTTTCAAATGAAAACTGAGTTTCAATATGTTTCCAATGTCTAACACATTCACTGTTCTTAAATTCAATTAGGTGTACCTAATAAGAGACCAGTTTCTTTTCTTTTTTTTTTTTTTTTGTCTTTTTCTGTGTCCGGCAATGGATCGCAACCCTCAGTGTCACCCCCGTACCAGACCGGGACCAGCAACGGGATCGCAACCCTTGGTGTTGCCCCCGCTCCTCCCTCAGCCAGTGAGCGGGAACCGGTCTGTATGTGGGATCCGAACCCTCGGCGGGAGCGCCGCCGCACTTCCCAAGCGGCGCACTATAGCAGTGCGCCACCGGGCCGGCCCATAAGAGACCAGTTTCAACAAAACCTTTCTCAAGTCTATTCCAACTTAGTTTTTTTAAGATTAATGGTCCCTAATAGTTCTGGAATAAAACCTTAGAATCAAATACCATTTGAAAAAAATCTCAATTAGCTAGAAGCATTAGTTAATTAGAATCACTTTGGATTCTAGAATGCTACCTTAGAAAAGAAAGAGAAAAACTACATGAAAAATGCTCATCAAAGATTACAGAACAATAATAAAAGCAAATAAATAGTTCAGACATTCAACTTAACATACACTGCAGCCGTTACTAAATTGTAAATGCATCTATTCAGAATAATAGCACTGATCACCTGCACCAAATATTCAAAAAGCTAATTAAAATTCTATAAGTGCATGCTAATCAAATGCATTTTAAAATATTTTCAATGGCATGATAAGCAGAGGGGACAGCTGTTACTGTTGTTCCTTAACTTCTCAGTTAACTAGAGACTCCTGGATTTCTGATCATGTGGCTTTGAAAACATACGGTGGAATAAGGTAAGAAAACATGTGCTTCGGGAAATGGCAACAGGACCCATTTACTGAACTGTAAAGACGGCTGTCAACAGTCACACATGTAGAATAATGCTCTCTTATCACCACCCAATTTTTTCCAGCCATGTCAACTATGAGAATGACAAAGGCACGGCACAGAATATGAACCTTTGTTTCAGTCCCGTTGCCTTCAGTGTTAAGTTTCAGAAAGCAAATTAAGGTGATTCTAAATGAGACAACTTTTGGAGCTTGCTTCACAAGAACCTTCTGGGAGGGTTCTTAAGCAAGCTCTGGGGGACAGAAGGAGAAGTCGATGTTCTGTCATCTGCTATAGTGCAGCTTCCAGTAGGTGCCACGACTAAAATACGCCTTCCAAAAGCAGGGACATACCCGCAAGTGTGAAGTGTACAGAAACAGCGCTTTACAAATCCTGCTCTCTTCGTCTTTGTCTTGCATCTGAAACACCACGCACGCTTTCTGAACTGCAACAATCCACTGTTCATATTTCTGTGTTCCAAATTCCCTGTTTCGAATTTGAGACAGGTTTTCTGGAAAAAAAAAAAATAGTTTTTCACTGTGCCATATGGCCAGTCATTTAAGTTTCTAAATATGCCTCATCCTCTAATTTTCTTTCTTGCTCTCTGTAAACAGGGTATTCCCCTTTTAATAGTCTTGAGTTTTCAGCAGTGTATCTGTGTATATAATTGTTTACTAAGTACCTACTATGTACCAAGAATCAAAGTCCCTGACATTCTTAATTTCAGTTAATTTTCACAACCCAATAATGTAGATATTACATTTTATAGATGAGGAAACTGAAGTTCAGAAAGGCTAAGTAATGTACCCAAAGTCACAAAGCTAGTACATGGGGGGAGGGCAGGAATTTAAATCCACATGTGTCAGATCCTCAAGCTCTACTGGCTCTATGAGCTGACAACAAAAGCAGGACAGAGGTAAAACAATGGACATGAAAAAAACCCAACTTTGCCTTTAAAAATGAAGAAGCAGTGAGTAAAAATAGATAACAGGTCTCAAGAGCTTCATCAGAGGAGGACATATAAAAACCAGAGGCTCAGGACTCAACACAACTTATTCTGCTTTGCTATGAACTTGGGCCATCTGATCTCCAGAGCAGCATTCACAGGGCCAAGCATACAGCAGGTGCTCAAAAGACACGTGTCATGGACACTTCTATATGTGTGCATTTCCTAAGCTAAGCCTCAGTTGTTTGGTTCAAAATAGAGCATCTGAGGGCCAGCCCATGGCTCACTTGGGAGAGTGTGGTGTTGATAACACCAAGGCCAAACCTTGCAGAAGGCAGGTCAATGAAGTAGAAGGGACAGATTAGAATAGTTGAACTAAGTGAACTAAGTAGAGGGTGGAAAAAAGTGGAGACAGTTATTTGAGAAATTTTATTGAGAAGAGCAGCAGAAAACTATAACTAGGAGAATATGGGGTCAGGAAAGATTACATTTGGTTTGCTATCTTTTACTTTTGTATCTTTTTTGTATTTTTAAAAGAGAGATGTAGGGACCAGCCCATGGCTCACTCGGGAGAGTGTGGTGCTGATAACACCAAGGCCAAAGGTTTGGATCCCATACAGGGATGGCCGCTTAGCTCACTGGGTGAGCGTGGTGCTGACAACACCAAGTCAAGGGTTAAGATCCCCTTACCGGTCATCTTCAAAAAAAATTAGAGCATCTGTTTTAGTCCAGGCTCTGTGCAGGGAACTGGGGATATAAAATGAGGAAGGAAGGTACAGCCCTGTTCTCAAGTGCCTTAGTTTGTGAGTTACACTAGTATACAATAAACTCACAGGCAAGAGCCATATCTGTGGGTTATATTTCTCCTCTCACCCATTCATTTTTAATAAGAGGAACAAAGGACACTACTGACATGCTTCTTTCTCAGCCCCGGCCAAAATGAGGTGGCCAGCAGTAAAGAAGATGAACCAACAAGTATTTATTGAACTTGGGTAGGTATGAAAATAACCTAAGCAATCTGGAAATGAGCAGTTGACAGGATGTGCATTGGCAAAAAGGTTGAGACAGGGTTCCTGAGGTGAGAGCAATAAGAAAGTAGAAATTCAAGTGACTTCACTGCCACTTCTCCAGCCTTCCGCCACTTCCTCAATTCAGAACATGTCATTTTGCTTCTACCTGGTCTTCCTACCTCTTGCCTTGTTCCCTCCAATCCATTCCCTATCCAGCAGTCAGAGGAAGTTTCTAAAATTGCAGATGCAAAACTGTGCTACCCCACTATTTAAAAGCCTTTAGTGGATTCCTCTAGCCAACTCCTACAAGGCTCCTGAATAACATATAATCAAGAAAGCCAACCTCTGATGTGGTCTTGACATTGTCTGAACTAAGGAGAATGAAAAAAGACACTAGTGAACAATATATGGCTATTTACAGACGGACAGCATACAAAATAAGAGATTTATCCAACCGAGAGTTAAAGTAGAACTCACCAAATTCTTCATAGATACTCTTTGCCATACTCTCTGTCTGCCTCATTAACTGAGATACGATGCACTTAAATTTGTCAGTAGTCCTTGATTCCACTTTCCTGAAAACTAGAGTCATCAAAGAAAAGTGAGCATTTTTCAGGAAAAACAGATCATAGTTCAAAGTAGGTATCTCCAAACCTTTCTCTTACTTTGTTATTCCCTCTGGAAAACCTGAAATCCCAAGCTCGCTGGCAGGTGGTCTAAATGATATAACAAATGCTCAAAAATCTTGCAATGGCTTCCTATCACTTCGTGCACTGATTCTAACATCTTTCATGGTCTGGCTCTAATCCCACTGCTCACTCTGGCTTTCCCGTTACCTCTGCTCTGATGAGGCTGGTGTGCCTCCCTCCTCTGCAAGGCCACGTTCTAACCGTCTCTGTGCTCTGATATTCTCCCTCCCCTCCCAACCCCCAGGAGTGTTCACACTGATCCTACCATTCACTATTGTATTCTTTCAGCAGAAACTTAATTGCCTACCTATCATGTGCCAAGTTCTGGTGACAGACAGTTGAAAAGAACACACTGCATGCTCCACAGAGGGCTGCATTTTTAGGGGGGATACATAGCCAAATAACCACATCAGAGTTCTGTAACGTAAGTATGTGCAAGGTGTCATGGAGCACAGGAAAAGGAATATCTAATTTCTCCAGGGAAGGCAGTGTTGTAGAATAAATATGAGAAGAAGCAAGAGCAGTCATATACAAAGGACAGCGTGGACAAAAGCTTAGAGAAAGCACAGGACATGTCTGAGCAACCCAGAGGAATACAACACGGTTGGGTTTGTGGGTTTGGAGGCAATGAAGCTCAGAGGGCCAGAAGGACTGGATTATAAAGAAATTCACAGGTAAAATATTTCAGACATACAAAAAAGTACCAAGAATAATACACTGAGACTTGTGTACCCACTACTGAGCTTAAGAAATAAAATATTATAGTCACAATTTTTAAAAAAAGAAATTCATAGGTGATACTAAAAAGCTGAAGTTGGATACCTTCTCTAAACTCCTTACAGACAGCTCCCAAAAAGGAACTTAACTGTGCCGCTCCGTACTTCGCATGTATTTGGTCTGCCTTAGGCTCAGAGTCATATGCTACTCAGAGAGCAAGGATGCCAAAAAGGAACTTAACTGTGCCGCTCCGTACTTCGCATGTATTTGGTCTGCCTTAGGCTCACAGAGTCATATGCTACTCAGAGAGCAAGGATGAAAACATATATGTCTTTTGAACTCCCTCTCCCTTGCAGAGTCAGTATAATAGCAAAGTCAATAAACATTTGCTAGCCAATCCTATAAAAATCATATTCTGACCTTTTGAGGAGAGATATGATAAGTTCATGTAATGTCATTTCAACTAAATTTATCAGATACATATTTAAACAATGATGACCACAAAATACGTGCATGGGCACAGGGAAGGACTGAGCAGAGCAGTGGCTACCTACATGCTTAGATTTTCTCATCACCTCTTTCGCATTGTTAGTACTTTCATAATTGGTTTTTTTTGGGAACCAAAGAGTAAGAATGTTTGCTGTCTACAGGCACTTCTGAGGTTCATCAGTTGCTTGGGGACAGAGCTCAGCTAGAAAGAGAGGCCAGAAACGTGACTACAAGTTTGGGGATAAAAATTTTCTACTAAACAGAAAAAGGGTCAGAGTTCAGTGTTCACCTAAATCACTCTGAAGTAGGGGTAGCAGAGATTAACACCCAACAGGCTTGTTACTCGATTTCACTTACACTTCTGGGGCTTATAAACAATTTCCTCCAGTTCCTCCAAGTTGTCTTTGACTGTTGCTAGCACTGTTGCATCAAGAGAAGCACACAGCTTGCAGATATAATCAATGGCTTCATCCGTGTTTTTGGCATCCCCAACGCCAACTGAGGCAGTCAGCCCAACAACCTGTAAGAAGCATTCCAAATCAGCAGATGTCTGAGAAACAGCATGATGTCTTTTCAGCACCTCATGTAACACTTTCCTGGTGAAGTAGGGTTTTTTGTTTTTACCAACTTCAGATAAAGAGCAAGAACAGTTTTTTTTTTTTTCTGAAATTGCAAAAAGAAAGGTTGCTGTTAGGCAAAGCACTGAATAAATGCAGGAATCACACCATCAGCTGGACACTAATCAGCACAGAAAGTGAGACAGGAAATCCTTTCAAGTCAAGACTTCTCTTTTCTTTAGCCTTGTGTGCCCCATGATGTGAAGAACAACATATTGAAAATGAAAAGGACTGAAATCAGACACACTTCCATGTCACACTGGTTTTGTGTCCTTGGACAAGTATCATTCAGCTCTGCATAAAGTTGGGAAACAACAGCTATTTAAAATGGTAGCTGTGTGGATTCAGTAAGATAACACTTTTTAAAAGAATTTAGCTTAAAGGTAATCTAATAAATATTCATTTCTTCCTCCAATAGCCACTCAATAATTATTCAATAACTGACCCACCAGCAAGGAATCTAGTTAACCATCAATTTTATTCTAGAAGAAAAAGTTGTAAGAAATACGATTGCTATGGAAGGATACTTTTCTCCTGTGGGCACCATACTGAATTTCTTTTAACCTGCACTTCCTAAATGGGTAATTATTAGGGCAGGAGGATTTTATACAAATGTGCAAAGTGGCATACCACAAATTTATGGTTTCCAGCCTCATTTTGGCCTCCAATAGGACCAAGGAGTTCATCAGTGTATTCCTCTCAGTTCTCTCTCCCATTTCAAATCCTCTCCACCCTCCCCAAGCTCCTTCCCCCATTCCCATATTGATGATTCTCAGCAAATATTCTACCTCTCTTATGTTCAAGAGAAAAAAGAGGTTATACACCAGTAATTTCCTTCCTTTCCTCATCTAAGAACTACTCTCTGAATTTACTCTTCTCACTCCTGTTCTCTGATGACACCAAAAATGGTGTTTCCGTCTTCTCTCCCATATTAATCTATCTGCTTGCCTACTTATCCCACACCTTCTGGTCTCTCCGGACGTCTTGGTCCATCAATCGTTCTCTCTCCCAGCCTGCCTCACCTACTGCTATTCCCTACCTCACACTCTAAACTCAAGTAATATTGAAGATCTTCAGGATTCTTGAGCATACCAGGCTCTTCCATACCTCTGTGCCTCTGGACACACAGTACCCTCTTAATGAAAACCATCCAGCTATCTACCTGGCAAACTCTTGTTAGTTTTTGCCTAACCTAACTTCTATTACATCTTGCCTTACTTTCATAGCACACTTGGCAGTACTTTCACTTTATGTTCTGACTGTACCTTGTACCCATCTCCATAGCATGATACCACCACAAACTGTGACATAATTCTTACATATCTGGTTCCCCATGAAACTTATTCCGTTTGAGGGCAAGGGCTATGTCTTTTCATATTTGTATCCCCAGTGCCCAGAACCACACATGGCACATGGAGGCACATAATACATATTTGTTAATGAATGAATCAAAATTAATCAGTAAATAGTACAATATGGACTTAGAACCTAAGAAGAACATCCTCAATGTGGCCACAACAGTAAGTAAATAGGATTTAGGATAATTATAGCTCCTCAGAGGAATTCATCTGATTTGGCGATACCTGGGGCAGTGGGTCTGAAGATCCTCCAAGTTTTTGATCTAGATAATTGAACATGATCATATTATATGGGTGTTGTTTACTGGTGTTGTGGCATTCGTCAAATATCATCAAAGTAAAGACAGACAGTGATGG